CGCTGCCATGAATATTGGGGTGCATAGATCTTTGCGAATTATTGTTTTCGTTTTCTTTGGATAGATACCCAGAAGTGCAGTTGCTGGGTCAAAAGGTATATCTATTTTTAATTTTTTGAGAAACCTCCATACTGTTTTCCATAGTAGCTATACCAATTTGCAATCCCACCAACAACATATGAGGGTTCCCTTTTCTCCGCACCCTCACCAACACTTGTTTTTTGATTTATTGATGATACCCATTCTGACAGATGTGAGGAGATATCTCATTGTGGTTTTAATTTGTATTTCTCTGATAGTTAGCGACCTTGAGCATCTTTTCATATGTCTATTAGCCATCTGCCTTTTATTTTATTTTTAACCATTTTTAATTGTGGTAAAATATGCATAACGTACCATCTTAACCATTTTTAAGGGTACAGTTCATTGGCATTGAGTGCATTCACATTGTTGTGCAGCCGTCACCAGCATCCATCTCCAGAACTCTGTTCATCTTGCACACCTGAAGCTCTGTACCCATTAAACACTTAATCCCCTTCCCTCCCCGCCTCACCCCCCACGTTCTGCCCTGTCGCCTAACTCCTGGCAGCTGCCATCATCCTTTCTTTTAAGTAAATAAATTCCAGGGTCGCTGCTTTGCCAAAATTAAATATACACCTTTCAAAGAATCATCAACGGGTAACTTCATTCATTTCCACTTCCTAACTGGGAGGCAAACATAAACTCTGATGTCAGAATAGAGTGTGTTGCCCTTGGCTGAGTTTGGCAGAGATCCTCAAGGTGGAGGAAGAAGGAGCTCGCCTTTCAGTGAGTGGGGAGAACAAAAGGCTGTTGTTCTGCAGAGTCTGTCAGATGGTGGCTCTTCTGGAGGTTGCAAGTGTAATACAGACTCTTTTATTTTTTTAAAAAAACAACCTAGTTTGAAATGGAATTCTTGTCCTGCTAGTGTATCAGTCAGCATGGGTTAGATTATGCTGCAGTAAGGAGCAGCCCTCAAGTCTCTGTGGCTTAACATACCATTTCATTCCTGCCATGTGTCCGATGGACATTGGCTGTGAAGTTTAAGTAGTGACCTTTATCGGTTCTACTCAAATTCATTGGCCAAAGCCAAGTGACATGGCCACACTTAACTTCAAAGGAAACAGGAAAGTTTTATCCTCCTGTGTTCCTAGCTCAAGCTAATGAGTGGACAAATTTATGAACCCATAGCTAGGCTTTTAGAGCAATCGATC